TCCCTGTTTTGTTTCTTACTTTTTATGGCATCCCTATATTCCAACACTTTATAATTGAAGAATGGTTTTATTTTACTTGTATGTTATTTATGCAGTATCGAGTTTGCACGTAGTCATATAGTTATTAGACGTCTCACCCTATTGTGAATTCAGGTAAAGTCACACTATTGCCAGTGTGGTTTGTTGGATGCCAGGGGCTAAGTAGGATTGAACCTATTTGGAAATCAAACATGTACTCATGATCAGTGGAAAGTCATCTGATTGGAAAGGGGCATGTTTAGCTACCTGCACTTTTATATCCAATAGCTAAATGCGTGTGGCATGTAAACACGCAAGGTCGGTATTCCAAAATTATTGATCGTAATCCTCCTTGCAAAACATGGTTTATAATAAAGGTCTGGCATAGCTGCCTTTTAACACATGCGGAGAGAATAGTTAGGTGGACCAGCAACGAAACACAAATTGGAATGTGTGGTTACACAACTACCTACCTTTCCAGTGATGAGTGGGTGGGGCCTGGGGAACATAAACACTAAGACCTTTCGCTGCACTACTAAACTTGCACTTTCATCAGATGGCTGAAAACAGAACACAAGAACAGTCGACAAGACTCTCTCCAAGCTTGTGCCTATTAACAGCACTACATACACGAGCGTCAAGAGGCTGTTCTCAACAGACTATATGTACCTATGACTAACGCACTATTGACATCCCTCATCATCCTGCAATCTAATTGACCTCCCAACTGTATTGCTGAGAGTGTAGGTTGTTGATGCTAACGTCACCTGACCACATGGGTTTTAGGCAGGCAATTCTAGACAAGGCTTTAATTAACGCAGATGGCACTTCCACTTTTTAGATCAAGAGGCAGCAGCTATGCTCACGCAAAAATCACTCTATCTTTTCAAGGCCATTTCAAGGCTTACCTGCGATCTCCTCAAAAATGGCACTAAAGTGCATACCCTCGGCGCACTGCACATGAGTGGCATGCTAATTCAAATGTTAAGTTTTCTAGAGCCCAGTCGCAATTTATATTTTACGATGTCTTACACAGATCAGCTAATGAGTGGCTTAGCTGAGGTAGAAATGGCAGAGCCCATTAGGCTCTTCCCAGATACATCTGAGCCACTCTTTGTTGAATTGACTCAGTCGAGCTTCTCGCACAGGATCAATCCAAAGCTGCTTAGCATCTGTACAATCAGGTATAAAATCAATGTGGTGCCCTTCCCCTGCCTCTCTTAGAACTCCATTTATCCATATCTTTCTTGGGCTCCACATTCGCTCTGTACCAATTGGTTTTGATTCCAAGCCTGGGTGAATGAGTCTAAGGACCAATTTATCATAGGCAAAATCACATAATGTTTTTTGTTTATTTTTAAAAATTTATTTTAGCTTCACAGTAGCTACATGAAGAAAGGGACAAAAACCAAAAATGACAGCATATATAACAGACCTTTGTGACATGTACTGACGAACACCAACAAAGTGTTGAGACCTAGGTGGGTAGAAGTAATTAGTTGCTATTGATGAGCAAACACACACAGAACATGGGCAATATAGTGAAATGTACATGCGATTCGTACTCAGAAAATGAGATTCAAAATGTGACCAAAATGCTTCAAGAACTTGATTCTGAATGGTAAAATGGAATGATCAGAGGTTATATCAAGTAGTAGGTGCGAGAGAGTTCCAGACCGTGGAAGTCTGTTGAAATTCAAGTGTCATGTCATGTTGGATTTACAGAGGGAATGCATCAGCTTCAGGTGGTTGAAGACCGGGTATTGACTTCTGAGAAATGTACGTAAGACTGCAGGGGAAGGTATTAGAGGGATCTGGGTCTTGAAGCAACGGATGAAGAACATAATGTCATATTATAGCTCCAAGTTGCATAACGAGAGGGAGAAGTCTAAGTGACAGTAAGCGATGCTCGTAATCTGACTTATAGTCGTTCAGAATATACTTTGTAGCACGTCTCTGGATTTGTTCCAACTAATAATATCCTTGACAAGATGGGGCCTCAAAATGTGTGAACCGTAGGACAGTTGAGAACGAACTAAGAGGGTGTACAAGTTCTTTTTAGCCTTAGTATCAAGACCAGAGGAAAATGAACACCGAATGAGGCCTAGCACTTTGTATGCTCGAGAGGCAATGAACTTGAGATGGTTATTCTATTTAAGGTCGCTAGACAATAAAATCCCAAGGTCACCATGACAGTTAAGAACTTGGATTTCAGTGTTATTGATAGTGTAGTCAATGATGACGCGAGGAAATTTGGGACTAAATCTCAGAACAACACATTTCTTTGCATTGAGCTGGATGTTCCACTTTTGGCTCCATAGAGACAGGCGAAGGAGGTCATTTTGGAGTAAAAGACAGTCAGATGGAGTGGAAACTTTTTTTAGACACTTGGCATCATCAGCGAATAGAAATATTTGAGAGCAACCGATAGAATGGAATATCATTGACGAATATTAAGAACAATAGAGACCCAAAATACCTTTTTGTGGTACTCCTGAGATAACTGGAAGGGGGTCAGAAATACAGCGATTGAGTGTAACGTGTTGAGATCGACAGGATAGATAGGCTTGGAACCATTTCCATAGGTTGACAGTGATTCCAAAAGACCACAGCTTTACTAGAAGTTTGTTATGGGGGACACTGTCGAAAGCTTTCTTAAAATCGAGGTAAACAACATCAGCTTGACAGTTTGAGGACCGGTAGTCCTGAAGGGTAGTGAGCAAAACCAGTAACTGTTGAATGGTGGAATGCTTAGGACGAAATCCAAACTGCGAGGGAGAAATTGAGGGAGAGACAAAAGGTTTTTGGTTTGAAAGTGGCAGTGAACAATTTTTCAGAACCTTGGGACCAATTCCATCAATACCCATAGCTTTAGATGTGTCCAGCCCAGCACAAAGGCCAAGCGCTGGATTCAGTTCGTGGCTGCGACACACCGGTACACATCTCTCCAGAGTCATTCGATTCACTGGTTGGGTGTTGATGGGCCAGCAGATGAAACCTCCATGACCTATTCCCCTCTGTGAATCTGTCTGTCTGTCAGTCTGTCTCATTTCACCAGCCACGAGTAGCTCTACAAACAATACCAGGTATTCGGCGTCGGGTATAAGTCGAAAATTATGTATGGTTCTCTCTGAAATTGCTGCGTTCGAGAGGTTTACGGCGTGAAACACGAGCGAAAATGCAAGTGCAAACCCCCGACGAACTGCTCACGCGCGTTACCGCGTAATCCTCGTGCGAGATGGCGACCGTGCCTCCGTACGAGGTGATTTCACCTCTGTTCTGTGTCATTGACCAGCAGTCAGAAAATATGGCTGTCATTTGCCGAGATTACGAGTCATCGACCCAAGTTCAGCTGTCCAGCAGAGCGTTGGCTCTATCTGGTCGCCAGGTGCCAGATTATGCTCCAGTTGGAGTCAGAGCGGGGGCTCTATCGTATTTCCGATTATCTGGACTGGAACTTCAGATTTCATGTTTATACTTTGACTGTTTGCATATGCCCCTCGGGTCCTGCAAAATGAACTTTGAACTTTGAATGGATGGGCTGGGCTTTTATTATGCGTTTACTCGTGGTCTCCACGCTACGGAGAGTCTGACCGACTAGCTACAGTAAGTAGATAACATACGCGGGAGTCGATAGACGTCCGTCGTTGTGACTTCTTGTGCCTTCATTACACAGAGCAAGCCGACCCGGTCGAGGTAAACCTGTGCTAATTTGCATATTGGCTTGTTCACTTGCTTTCCATGCCATAACTTTTGAACGCAGCCTCCCTTGCCCCTCTTTGTCATTAAAAATTATTAGTTATCGCCTTTTTTAGGAAAATGTTTGCTTAGGGTCATCATTTAACAGCCGCAAATATTATCGAGAGTAAACAATGGCCGAACGCGTGGGAGTTGCGGGTGCTGAGCTGGCTGGCACTACAGCGCTAAGTGCATTTTTGGGTTCCCCCCTCTGTACTCTGGTCCTTCCAAATGCTCTGTTGCTCCGCTTGTATGAGGAGGGCAAGGGATACACAGCAGGGGTGAACACTTGCATCTCAGGACAGCTCCTGACATTGGACTCAACCTGCACCAGGATAGAGACATCTATTCGCAAGGCTGCGAGCAGACTCCATAAGCAGAACGAGGAGGTTGGCAAAGGGGTCAAAAAAAAAATTTTGTAGATTTGGTTGATTATATCTAGTGGTACGCATTGCTTATAATAGTTTGTAGTAATCGACGATTCGAGAACGCAATAAATTGGTGACGTGCTTAAAAGATATAGGATCCTCGGCTGAAACGTAGAGTCAAAGATACATAGAAATTGTGGGAGCCAACAATGGAGGGGATCGCAAATGAACCTACGACGAATAAGAGAAAATTTTTAGACGGGAGTGGGGGGGAGTCAAAATAATTACGAAAGGTGTACACCGGGGTGTACTGGGGGTAAGTGCATAGAATGTGAATAGTTAGTAAGCCAGTAAACACAAGCGAGAAGGCTGCGGCCACTACCGGATATTCGTAAGATAAGTTGGTGGATTTTCATAGACCATGGGTGTTGGGATGAATAAATGTAGTGCGTGGAATAGGGCTGTGACCTGGATTATTATGGGACAGTCTATGTAGGGGAAGGGAAAGGAAGACGCGAATCTATGGGTAGGGGCACATAGGAAGGATCGGGATTCGAGTCTCGGCTTAAACACCCGACGGCATTAACTAGGGCCCGCTATGGTGATTCAAAGCAGTCTTGTAAACGATAGACCAAAACAAGATACTAATCCTCGCAAAGGGTAGGGAACAGTCCGGGGGAGTACACCGCCCAAAGGTCCGCTGGCCACGCATGGGCTGAACAGATGGAAATTCTCAACACCTGGAGGATCTGAGAATTAGAGCAAAACGACTTTGATGAGATGGTCAAGTAAAGGGGGTTGGTATAAACCGAGAAGACCGAGTTTTTGTTGTTTTGTGTTTATGTTGGCCCATATTGAGACAGGCAGCCCCTTGGGTCTCTGTGATACAGGCAACCTGCATCATTGGCGGCGGGTCGATCAATGGGCTGAAGATTTCAGTAGTTCGCCCACGAGTTGAGCGTAGCCCACTGAACATTCCAGGTGGGTAGCGCTGCATGTGGCATAGTGCATCTGTCCACCCTGGGGAATGGGGAGTCGACTCCTCGGCGCTCACACATAGTCCAAGCCTCGGCCGGAAGGTGTTCTCCTATGTCCGTCTGAGTATTGTGGGGCAAACCCTCTCATCATGTGCATGCGTAAGTGGTCTATAGTGGGTCAGGCATGGGATTGCTTGCGTGGGCCTCGACCGCACGGCCTTTTGGGGGGAGTGTCCTCGCGGGGCAAAAGTAGATGTCCGGTGCCACGACGGCTCTTATCTGTATGCTTCTTCTCTGTATGCTCCTCGCGGGCCGAGTGTCCAGGCGAACCGGGGCGGCACGGGGCATGCGGCTTACCCATCTTGGATGGCCGTGAGTCTAGCGGCCTTCGTCGGGGTACGCTAGCGTTCCGATATAGGCTGGGCAATACTCGCAGCTCTATTTGGGATCTCTTACCTCCTCGGTGGGTAGTTGATGCACATCATTGCCGTTCCGAGGTCACTACCTCAATCTCACTTCTTTTTCAGTCATCTCTTCGGGTGGTGCGTCGCCGGATGATACCAGTCAACTAGGAAAGCAATAGCGTAGCGGTCGCACAGTGGTGTCGGAACTGCTAGGGCGCTACGAGTGTGTCGGTTGGACGACGGTTCTCAACACCATCGATTAAGTGCGCTTGCGCATCCGGGGCACCATATTTAAGGCGGCAGAGCGGCCGCCGCGTTCTACGTCAAGAAAGGCGTCTGCCATTCCGGCGCAGCATGACCAGTGTCGTAATCTCCTGTTCAAGGCATCGTGGTAGACATTTATACAGCGCAAGTAACTTCATCGGCATTGATGAGCCTGATTCCTCGGGCAGGCGGGGGGTAGACTCTACCACGGACTGTCACTAGACAGCGTGCATGGACCTAGGCCGCGCCACCAGCTCTAGGGGAACTAGGACGTGCATGTTGCAAAAAAAATAAATGGTTCAGCCCGGTTCCACCGGTGCCTGTCCTGCGACCACACGGCGTGTGGGGCGGGGGTCGGTTCCGGCTATGTGTGTGCCCCGGATAAGTGCACACTCAGAGGGCGATGCATGTCCTGAATTGCTCGTGGGTCAGATAAATGCGCTCACGTGCATAATATTACACTTAGGTGCTCTTATACAGACTGCAGGCCCTATTGCCATTTGATGGGCTGAGTGCCTGTACATCTAAATGCCGAGTGGTGGCCGCTAGGTACTTGGCCGCGAGCAGCGACATCGGTCTGGTACGTCGCGTGGGCAATCGTCGGTCCGCTGGCGTTTCGATGGTTCATGCTCGTAATCCTCCTGTCCCCGCCTGACAGCCATGTGGGTTGATGCCGGCGCGCGGCTGGTGAGGTATGGCACATGGAAAGCTTTCTTAGGGAATTGCCTCAAACTCTGCCACACACACTTTTTTGCACCACGCCCGCGAGTATTTTAATTCGATAGTGGTTTTCTTAGAACACTGTTCGGTGTTGCGTGTCTGTTTGCAACGGACTGCATAGGCTCAGCAGAGGTTACAGGCGACTTTCCTATCTATTGCGGCGGTCAGGGGAATTCAAACAAGGCAAGATGCTTGCCTGTTACCGGGCAAATTGGGCACGACAACGCGAGGTAACGGCCCCGCGGTCGGAACCCGCCGTCGACGCGGGAAGGTACCACAGCTCAGCCTGAGGCTCTCGCAGGCTCCGGTAACTTGCGTCAGTGACAGCACACAATGAAGCAACAAGCTGTTTCCTGAGGACTCATTGCGAGTCTTTAATCACCCGGCTCATCGTGACTGCAGCTTTAAGGTCTCGGAATTCCGTACAGTGCCGCGCTAGGTGACTCTCGTAGGGGCTGCTGAAGGGCGTCTGGCGTCTCGAGCCAGAGAATACCGCGATGGTGGCGGTCCTTCCTCCGCAAGCATGCATCCAAGCGTTCAATCTGAAAGGCCGGAGTGGGGGGGGCGGCTCGCTACCTCATATTCCACTGGTCTGTCAGGGCGCGTGCAGGGGGTCCGTCGTGGGCGAGCGTTTCCGCGGCGATCCCAATGGGGACGGTGCGTACTTCACAAACGCCTGCGCTGCGCCTCGTGGCTGTACATTTCAGTTTTGGTCGTAACGAGGCAGGACCGCAATATGTCCACACTGTGGGCGTCGTAGATTCAGTACTATAGCCACCGGCAAACGTTCGTGTTCTTATCGCGTAAATCCTCCACCGAAGGAGCAGAGCGCTTGTGGCTGTACGCTGGCGGCGTCAATGACGGTGAGGCGTCCGGCTGCGTTAGTGCTCTTGTGCTCGTAATGAAGGTTGAGGCTATACGATAAGCGGCGGTCGGCAGTGTTGCCGGTGGCGCCATGCCGTGGCATCATCCGCTACCATCGCTCGACAGGAATTCGAGACACCCACCTCCGTAGGGGCTTTAGTGTGCTGATGTGGCGGAAGGCAAAGTCTGACTCCTAAGCAATCCGAAGCCTCCGTGGGGCAGATGAGGCGCGACAGGCATAGCTCCGGAATGGTGATCTTCATCGGGTGAAAACGCCCATCTGAGTGGCGTGTCCGGGGGGGTGGTGGGTTTGCCCTAGGCTGACCGATGTCCTTGAAATTCACATCGCTACTGGGGCGTTCGCTTTCCGTCTACTTTTCTCGACGTACAACCCTGAACTGTCGTCCGTCGCGTCCAGGTTCCAAGCGGTGGTGCGCTTGTGCTCTGAATGCGCGCACGGGTAGCCGTCAAATAGGCACGTTGTACTCCAAGCGTTGGGTGGTGGTGATGATGGCTAGCTACGTCCGCTTCGCCGTGCCGAATAACCACTGACCTACTTCCTGCGAGTTCGCGTCAAGCTGCGGCGTGGTGTCTACGGATTGGCTTCGATCTACGCTCTCATGGCGAGCAGGCAGGCGTCATAGCGCGGACATGTGCGCTTATCTTCCGTAGGTGAGAGTACGGCTCGTGCAGGTGGCAGTTTGATGCGCTCCCGCTGTCTGAGGCGGGCAGGGTTATCGGCGAGGGGCAGCGCTGTGTCTTCCACGCACTGGCTTGCATCGCGCCTCGCTCGCTTCCTGACATAAGCTGGTCAAATCGAAGGCGGGGGCTTTAAGTTGCTTGGCTCCGCTTCCATTCGTGTTGCGCTTCAGTGAATACTTGGTCGGCTGACCACGTCAGGCTAGATTGGGCTAGAGCCTGTGCGACAAGGCTCACGCTATGCTTGCAGGTAGCGGCGGAGTGAAGGTCTCTTCGCTGAGGGTGGCTGGCCGTAGCCAGCCCCTCGCCGAGGCGCTAGCAGCTTGCCCTACTCTCAAATCGTCGCCGCGACCGCAGTAGTGCTTGTCGTCGTTCTTAGCACTGCGTGTCATGAGCTACGTACGAGGTGAGGCTCCTAATAGGCGCCGCTATGACGAGCTAATGTAGACGTTGAGGTCGCAGGGTACGTAGTGGGGCTAGCGCCGCAGTGCACTCAGGAAGCGGTCCATTCCAGTGGGTGTCCGTTTCCTAGGATATAACGGTATAGCCAGAGCGAGCTCGAGATCAATTTCCTGAAGGAGGCCCTGGCCCTCTCTGGAAGGTACAACTCCGCGGCCTGCAAGAGAATGGTCCGCTCTGGCCTAGTGCTCTGCGGGGCTTTCCTTGCTCGTGCCTCGCGAGGGGCAGCTGCCCAGTACTGAGGCAATGCGCCAAATAGAAATCAAAAAACCCACCCAAAATCTCACAAGCCAAAAACCTTCCACCCAAAACATATAACAAACTCAACCATGAAATCATTCAGACAAATACATAAATTAACCACCCAAAGACCAAATACTCAAATATGAGTGAGCAGCACAATTAATCCACCCATAAGATAGAAAGTACCAACAAAAACTCCCAAAACAATGCACCCACAGTCAGAAAACAGAAACTAAAAAATTATCCAACACACCACGATAGCTAAACCGCGCCAGACGCCTCAAACAATTTTAAAATTCACTGTGTACAATAACATTGCATGGCACCTGCAACGACAGTTGAGACATATTCAGAAACACGTAGGAACTTATTCGCACAGCATCAAGACGATCACTCCTTCACATTTGAGCGAAAGTGTCATAGTCAGATTCAGCCGACAGTCCCGCAG